TAAATTGATATGTTTTTTAAATAAAAAATACAGCGAGCAAAATATTTTGCAGGTAAGAATGATACTAAAATAATTTGAGAAACGCGTAACTAAACTATATTTACTATTTCATATATAAATCAGTAAAATAAACCAAACCTTAACAATATTTTGAAATCAAATATTTGTTCTTTATTAACTTCAGTTCTTATTGCTTCCAACCAAAATGGAATAACGTAGTCCCAAACCTGTATTTTTATATCAAATTGTTAAAAATGCTTCACAAATGTTTACTATTTCCTATTTAATTTAATTTAAAATACAAAACATTTTTATTCGATATAAATATTTAAAATTCATTTAAACAAAATTCACGATTTTGAGGAAATAAACTCAAAATCTAAAGAACTACTTATAGGTAAACTCCCAAACATGCTATCGGATTCCAACAAGCCACACAAAAAATTACAAATATTAAGAAGATACATCAAACTCCAGTGGGCGTTCGATCTTCCGTTGGCGGTCCATTTTATGTCTGTTATTAGGCTGTTTAAAGCAACTGAAATGTCAAGTGAATAAGGTTGTCTTAGGCAAATCCATGTGGAGGTACAGTAGCTTGAGTTGCCAGTTCTTATCCACGAACGATATGAATATTTAATAGCAAAGAAGATCACGAGCATAGATGTCTTTTTGTTCTTTTTCGTGCCTTATCCTTTCAGGACATTGGCGACCATCGACCTCCACAAAACCTGAATTTTGTAAGAGTTGAAATGTGGTGATATTCAACAAGTGACACAAAAACTTCACCAATGTTATTTGTTGTTGACCGCGATCTCTTTTCCCTGCAATCTTTTCAGTAGTTCTCAGATTTTCCATTCTTTCCTTCCGCGTGATGTAACCAAAAAGCTGCCCCGTCAGATTATATGTAGTAATTCCTCTTTTTATAACCGGACTGTTTTAATACGTTCTCATTCGAAGTATGAGAGGTCCAACTAATTTTCATAATTTTTCTCAAAAAAAATCTCAGCAGCTTTAATCATATATGTCACCAAGTAATATTAAATTTGGTATTGAAAGGAGAAAAAAATAGAAACTTTGAAATTTGTTGTCATGAACTATGAGGTGCAATGTAGATGGTTATGAAGTTGATAGTTTGATATTCAATGTTGTTAGTTTTCTTGCTGTTCAATGACATCAAATTCTGGAAGTTGCATGGTGGTAATAGAATGCCGTTGAGTATGAGAACCGCTTTTTTCACATTTTCTGTCGGTACGGTTGATCGTGCAAAAAAACTTTTTCAGTGTTATGAAAGTTTAGTTTCTTGCTTTCCTAGTATTTGAATGTTGTTGTTTATGGAGTGTTCTAACTCGTTTCATTTGTTTTGGATTAAATTGCAAAATTTTTAGCATTATTAAATAATATTTGTAAATTTTTAAAGATTTTGAAATTTTTTTCATTCTGGAAGCTAGCAGCATTGTTTTTGAAAATGTTGCTATTATTGCTGATAAATGCTGGAAATAAGATGATAAAACTATTTTTGGTGTTGGTTGGTTGAATGCTGAAGAAAAAATAATAAAACTATTTTTAATGATGGTTGATATCTTCGGTGGAAAACTCATCGTAGCACTTGTGTAGAGGAAATGGTAATGCAAAGGGATCGAAATTACAAATATTACGAAAATATATTCAAGCCATTCAGCGTTTCATTCTTCGCAGTGACCTCAAAACACACACTAATGAAGAAATAAAATGTTTACCCAATAAATCTTAAAACAGATGTATCAAAATAGAAAACCTCCTTCTTGGTTCAGCACTATTGGCGGATCATCGTAGGACGGTGTTGTTCAGAAAGAGTGGTCAACGGTTTGTCGAAACATTGATATAAAGTTGTTGAAGTCTCTTTTCGAGGTTTTGTTACTTTTATTGACTTCATCGCATCCCTACCAATAAGTGAGGCCGTTGTTCCAGAAAAAAATTGGTACAACTATGCTGTGTTTGCCCAATTTGAAAAATTTTCCCGTAGTTTAACGTAAATTAAAAAATGTTGTCAACAATTTTCGAAATAGACAGTTTGAAATACAAGTTTTTGTGGAAGGTTCAAGTATTATTTTTAGTACACATTTTCGGTAAATAATGGGAATGACGAAACTTTTTTCATCTCTGATCATTTTTAAGAATTATATCATATGTAAATTTAATCTAAAAAAATTAAACACATTGAAACTCGAATTTTTTTTTAAAAACTTCATATTATCATAAAGAAAATCACTGCAAAACATTTTACTTCGAACGTTTAATTAATTTATATAAAACATGTTCATTCGGCTTTATCCTTTCATAATAATCTAATCCTGTCACTAATACCTTCACTTAATAATAACGTTTAAACTTAAAAAATTGACGTTTTCATTAGTTTGTGCTTTTAACAAATCCTAACCTCATATTATATTTAATTTACTGTTATTTAATAATCATTTCATTCACTTTATATGTACACATAAATACTTGGGGAAAAATAATATATTATGAAAATTTTATTCTACAGTGCACAAAAAGACTGAAGAACGTTATGAATGCTATCGCTACGTGTTTGTGTAGCAATTAAAAGCCGAAAATAAAAATTACGATATTCCCAATTTAACTATGGACCATTTGTTAAAAACCAACTCTGTTAAAATTAACTTAACTTCAATCAACCTAATTATAATACTATATTCATAAACAATAAATAGAAAAATAAATTTCAATAATATATCCCAGAAAATGATGCACTGACATCGAAACGTAAGAAAAAAAAGACTTGGAAATTTAATTCTCGATTTGGATAATGAAAATAAAAAACTAATTAGAAAATTGAAAAACTTGAAAACGAAAAGAAACAACCTGGTAAATTCGATTAAGTTCAAAAAAATATGTATTCAAGAAAACATATTGTCTAAATACACAGATATAAATATATAACGTATGAATGATTAATTAATTAAAATCCATCGTTAAATCTATTTACCGACAATAAATTTAAGTGTCAATAAAAACATAATAAAATAAATGTGAAAGAATGACTCTATTATAAATGAAAACTCATTTTTTTAAAAATGATAGAATAAAATACATATTGAAATGTTTAAAAAACCTGTAAATTGATAACGTCGTAAGGCATCAGACAAAGCAAACGTTTTAACCCTTCTTTAAGTCGTGTAGTTGAAGAGGAAACAACATCACTTTATAAGGGTAAAATTATTAGTTATAAAAATTGCAAAAACTGGTATCCTTTCAGTTTAAAAACAGTTTTTTGGTTTTTGCAACTTTTTATGTAAAAATGTTATGAATCGTTATGAAAAAGTAATGACCTACATACAGTTACCTGCGTTAAATATTAAACTGAAAAAGTTATATTTTTCGAACATATACTTCAAAATCATTAATGCTTACTAGTGCTGGAAATTTAACAAAATTAAATTTTCTTGGTTTTAATGGGAATCCCATAAAAATAAAATTAAATGCACACGCACAATTTTAAAAACTTTCATCAATAAATTGCAAAGAACGACAAAATTATAAAATGAAAATCAAGAATTTATTCCACACATTTTTAAAAGCTTTGAAAGCTGCCACACTTTCCAAAAAAAAACACTCAAAACAAATAAACTGGGATGAACAAATATAGTTTTTTCTAATCATCATTTACATATAAAAAGATAAGATTAACTGCTGAAAAGAATTAAGGAAGGAACTAAAAATCATAGTAAAAAAGGAACGGATATGAGTATTTTAGTTTAGATAAGATATTTTTAATTGAATTTAATTAGGCAAAAAATCATTGTGATTAATTAACTAATTGCTATCATATTAAACAAAACTCACTAACAAGCTTGAAGCAACTTTAAAACACTCTAAAGGGTGAGGAAGTAAACACGCAGTTACTAAGTCAACTTGAGAATGAACGGACTCGAGTAGCCATGGAAGCAAGTACTGTAATATATATATATATATATATATATATATATATATATATATATATATATATATATATAATAAGAACAGCAGCAACAACAACAACAGTAATAGTAATAATAATAATAATGATAATAACAATGACAATGATAATAATATAAACTTGAAAACTTTTTATTTTGTTGATTTACTTTATGGCCGTTTTTTCAGTAATTTTTAAAATTTTAATTTATTTTGTTTAATTCTAATATATATCTACGTAAATAATTTAAAGTTAATTTGATCAATATGATAAATATATAGTATATAATAATTAATAATAATATTTTCAAATATTATTTGTTTCGCGCTTAAAATTAAGTTATACTGTATGAGGTCATTTGTTTATAAACGGTAATTTTCGTTATTATTTAAAAATATTTTGCACTGACGATGATATATTTTATATCGAAAAAGCTTTTTGCAATTATTTATATTAATAAACATGAACAATAATAATTTTAGTTTTTTATTTAATAAATTAAATAATTATAATAAAATTTTAATTAGAAAACTTGAAAAATTAATGTATAAACATAATAA